AATTGGCACTCTTCATGATTAGCATAAGGGTATTTTAGGAAATTATTAATCTAAATTTATGTTTCCAACCAAATTAATTACACTTTCTTAATCTGTGTGAAAAAAAAATCAAGACTAACAAAACGGGACGGAGGGAGTAATAATAAATAAAATTGTAACGGTGGTCTGATGTGTATACGGAAAAACATAAAAAACTTTTGAAAAAAAAAAAGACAATCCAAACAAAAAATTTCTCCCTTGATTCTATCTATCTTCTTGACAGGATCCAATTATTTTTTACCAACTTGTTTGCAACACTTTTTGAATGTAAATAAAGCAGACGTACCACAGCCGTTTGAAAAGCAAAAGGGAAGGGAAAAATGGTCACCAAGCGCAGTACATGAATGGAATGGCAGGAGGCCGTCATGTTTGAACGACGTTGGTATCTTTGAAAAGGCAAGGGAGATTTAGAAGAAGAAAAAAAAAAAAAGAGAAAGAATCAAGCAAAAGTGTAGAAAAGAGGAAGAGCAGCAGGTCATCTATTGTTAGGAAAATTGAGTCAAGGGACAAAGTGAGTGAGCTATTACTATTAGGAAACTATATATATATATATATATAGTACTACACCGGCCACGTCATCACGTTCATTTGACGGAGAAAAAGGTTGTTGGTGCTCGTTTCCCCACCATCGTTACCCAATTGGTCCGGTCCTCCTTTAGCCTACTAGCTCCTACAACTACTAGCATTTGACTAACAACACATATAGTAGTAGTAGTATGTATGTATTCGTTTTGGTCATGGCGTCTTTCTCGGTTGGTTAAACAAAATTATCCCTCTGCACCATTCGTTCTGTCTCTTAATATCCATACGTGTAATTGGGCCACTGGCCCTCTCTCTTTGCACCTTTAAAAAAAAAATTGAAAATAAAAAAAAAGAGGCAAATGCCACATCAGCAGCCCCATCTTCTTCCAATGCTACTAGCTACGCAGGAAGCTGGAGTAATCTTCTTCTTCTATCATTCTATTGGGTTGTAAATCGTAGTCAAGAAAGATAAAGAATTTGTACCGGCCCTTTGCTTTACCTTTATTTTTATTTTTGGGAGGGGGGGGGGCGGCAGCGGGATTTGTCTTTTGACAATAACGCCACAGCCAGAACACCCCATTCATCAAATCAAATGAGAAGAAGTTGCCTTTTCGCCGCCCCCACCCCATAACCTTCGCCTTTCTTTCTGTGATACTCCTGGCCATTAAATATATTATTGTTTTCCAATGAGTGATAATAGCAACAGGCATGGAGTTTTTGGGTCACTTGCAAAGGCGTTCAAAGTTAAATGAGGCCGGCCCGGTTACAGCTTGGAAGGGAATCAATCAAAGAGAAATTAGCCAGTGATGTCCACCAAGTCTCAATGCCCTCCCTAGAAGGCTTGAAACCAAAGCCCTTTTTGAAGCGAAATTAGCCATGTAATTGGTCTTGTTGGACTCTCAAACCCACTCATTTGCCAGCCAGTCTTAGGTTCCAAGATCTATCCAGATTCCCTTTGGCCCTCCTGCTCCTGGGATGATAGAGGCTACACCACTGGAATCAATGGAAAAAAATGTTTCAATGCATCATCTATATCTATATGTATTCAGGAGGATTTTTAGCAGAAACTCTTTCAATGACTTCTAAACTTCTCATTCTTTTTTCTAGATTTTTTGTATTTATTTTTATACATAAAATGTAGTGGGTTATAACCCACTTATCACCCATCAATATTCCCACTATCCCACTATCTTAACTCATCTACAATCATTCCTACAAATTCTCTATTCTCACTATCCCACTATCTCTCTCCCAATTTTTTATTTGTTTTTGTTCTCTATTCATTTTGTAAATGTATTGATTTTGTTTCTTTTATGAGCAATAGTGGAAGATATTATGTGCAGAGACTTCAGCAGAACTCAACCTTCTTGTGGAGAATTGGAAGTATATTCTTGCCATCTTAATTTTTCAGGTCGGTTCCCTCTGCCTTTTAAGTATATTTTGCTTTTGCTTTACTTTTTGTCATGAATGATATTACATTGATTTTCTGATCATCCATTATTTCTGAAAATTTTTTACAAAATCCTATGAACGGTTGCTTGCTTATTGTTACATTGTAAAGCAAATATAGTCAATAGTAGAATAGAGTATAAACACAAAATCACAATCACATTTCTAACATAAGGTATTGCTTGCTTATATAATTGTGGATGATATAGGTTCATGATTGAGGGTTTTACTATTTCTAACATAAATTGTATATTATAAAAATTTATTTGTTTGTATTACTGAAATTTTTTAATTATTTTTTATTGCACATTTATCATATAAAAAAGGTGTACGATAGTTATTTTCATAATTTTATTCCAAAAATGATCGTGCATGAAATAAAAAAATATTTGTTGATAATAAAAAATAATAAAAAATGGTTTATAATTAGAGAAAAACAATTCAGATACTACTAATAACTAAGGCACTGTACGCCCATTATTAAAATTGAATGATAGAAAGAGAGTTTATTAGCATTCAAATAACTGTTCTGTGTTGCATTTTTTTGAGATGCTAAAGAAGGCATGAAATTTCTTGAAAGATGGTATCCTACTTTTTAGAGTTTGAATCACAATATTACCTTCATTTTTTGTATTTTTGTATTTTTGCATCCACTGAATTAGAAAAAACGTGTCCTTCTAAGCTTGAATTATGTTCAGTAGTGATGCTAAAAACCTAATGATATCTATATGAAAAAAAACCCAATGGACATAATTATATATCATACCAGATATCAGGAAACTAACTGCATAAAGGAAATAATCCTGACTCATATTTCGGCGCTCTACCTGACTTAAGACGGTGATTTTTTAAAAAAATCTGAATTTTCTTGGTAGTTGAAAAATTTCGAATTCTAACTGAACTTAAACCAAAAGAATAAATTAAAAAATTATAGAGGCTGCCAAATTAAAAGACAATATTGAATTGAATATTAAAAGATGGTTTAAACATAGTAGGGATTACGAACCAAAATCTTTGAAAAACAATTCTGTATCCAAAAGATAAAAAAAAAAAAACCTACAAGAACAAACTCATTTTTCTCCAAAAAAAAAATGAAAGAAAAGAAGCCTATAAGAACATACGTCATTTCCAAATTTAATAATTTATCTACATTATGAACATATTATAAACTAATACATTCCTTTTTATTTAATATTAAAAATTGATTTTAATATACAAGTGATAGCAAAGAGAATGAAGCAGTTAGCGATATGTGAAAAAATCGAAAAGGACAAAAGCAATTAGAGGGATAATTTCGCACAAAATTCGTGGGTTAAAGTGCAATTTGAGATATAGATGAGAGGCATTTTAGTGCATTTATTGGTTTGTTTTCAATAAGTGGTGGTTGGTTTTGCGGGGTTTGGGGGGTCCACATGTATCAAAATATATTTATATAGAGATTGCTTCATTAACTATGGGTGCTAATAACAATGCTATTGGTGCGTAATTTTCATTTGATTACAACACAATTGTATTAAATTCTATTGATGCTACTCATATATTAACTATTGTATTTTTTTGTTAACAATTCTCATACAATGTATCACCTACTACACATAAAATAAATACAAAAACTATTTATTTTTGATTTAATATATATATTTTTTCTAGATCAAAGAAATGAAAATATTGACTCTTTTCAAGTTCGACAGCCATCTGCATCACCAATACTTTTGTGTGATCATGGTAAATATGCAATTTTTTATATCGTCAAAGATCGTGCATTTTCATTTATAGTACACACTCCACAAAATTCAATATAGTTAATTAAATCATCAATTTTGACTTCCGTACTAAAAGTGGATTGATGTGAAAAGTGTTAGCACCTTCAAGAAAGATTATCAAATCGAATGCTTAGTATTTGTAAGTATTTCATTTTAACAACATTCAATTACATTCATTTGTAGAAATATATCATTCCCTTTTTTAATATAAATTTTAATTTTTTTTCAGGATCCATCTTTCGAAAAAAGACAGTTCTTGAATGATATACACATTCTATTATATTTTAAACTATTGTTAAACAGATATTACATTTAAATTTTGTTGATTCAAAATTTTCACCTTTATTTGTTCACCATTTTATTTTTTCAATAATATCAGTACCGTGCGTAGCACGAATATTCACACTAGTGTAGTACTATTTAATTTACAAAATTCTAGAACCAACACTCCATGTTATTGATATAACCAGCTGCTTGATATATTACACAGTGCCCTAAAGGCTGAACTTCCCAACAAGGAAAGAGATTTTACATAAAACATTTTAATACTTTCCGTATCTTAGACGACGACATCCCCGCTAAAGCTGTTTTTTTTTTTTTTTCCCTAGCTTTTATTTGTTTGTTTGTTTGTTTTTTTTTTAAGTTAGGAAAGAAAATGGGGTTTTGTAATACATATTCGACATGCCTGGATACGGATAATTTTTTTTGAAATAAATATTATAACATTTTTTAGTAATAATGTAATGTGCTTGAAATTAAAAAAAAAGATTAAAAAAATGTATTTATGCAAACAAATAAATAAATTTGTGCAAATGATGAACTATCCAATCTTTTCACGGCCCCAAACTCGTCGGCAGCCGCCTCCCCAGTTTGCATCTGAAAATCATTTGGAAGCTGCCACTTTTAAAATCGCCACCTAGATTTCTCCGAAGTTTTCTTCCGTGTCCGACACACACACACACTCTTCAATCCATTTCCCATCATTCTTTGCTACTCGTTTGTTGATCTCATCAAATTTCATTTCCATCTTTTTAATTTCTTCTGGGTAGTGTTTGATTGGTTTATTTATTGGGTCCGGTTCCGAATTTATTCGTATGATCCCTCTTGTATCAAAATCAGATTATAAGCAATAGAAAAGATTACACGCAGTGGTAGGAGCACTGTAAATAGGAAAGAAGGATAGAGAGAAATGGCATCGACGAGTGGTAGTACCAATAAAAATGGGGGGGGGTGATGAACGTGAATAATAAGATCGAGAGAGCTCATCAAATGTATAGAGAAGGTAAGTACCAGGAAGCTTTAGTTTATTACACCGAAGCGCTTTCCGCCGCCAAGTCCATACCCCAACAAATCGCTCTCCACAGCAATCGGGCCGCCTGTTTTCTCAAACTCCACAACTTCAAGAAGGTTCTCAAACTCTCCTGCTCCCGCTTCTATCCTGTTTTCATCCTTCTTGTTTTTCCCTCCTCTATGATTTTAAGCTTCGATCGATTTACTTAGATTCAACAACTATTTCCTCATTATTTAAGAAATGACTTTTGCTTTATTATTCATTGCTTGGGTCATCAATTTGGGTGTGGAAAAACTGGATTAGTTTATTGAGGTAAGACTGTTGGATAGAGTGATTGCCGAAAAGAAACCCAAATAAAAGAGAAAAGAGGGGGGGGGGGGGGAACGGCAGTTGGAATCCAGAAAGCGTGGAATATCCACTATTTTTTATTGAACAGGGGGAATGAACTCTTGTTAACTTCGTTCGATAGTTTTGAATGTTTCCTGGCTGTGAAACTTTAGTGAGCTAGGATCTTGGAGTGTTGGTTTAACCTGTATAATCTTTTATCTACCCAACTTTATTTTATGTGTCGTTCAGATAAGTTTCTCTCCATGATGGAGGTTAAGAGCTGGACATTTCCATTTTGGATATTTTGTGGTCTGTGGTTTCTGTGTGGTGTTTTCTGGGGGTAATGGTTGTTCAAAAGTAGCTGGTTACGGATTTTGACGGCTTATTGGCATTCAGCTCTGGGGAGTTTTCCTCAATGGGATACATGCTTTTGGTTTTTGTCTTTGCGTCTTTACGTCACGTCCGTTGTTTATTTGTTTGACCAATCCATGTATGTTGCTTTCACTACTTCTGAATTGATGAAGATCAGACTTAGATTGAATTGCACTTCCGTTTTGAAATTTGTTCTGTGTATTGATTGCATAATGTCTGCAAATTTGTATAGGCTGCTGAAGAATGCACCTGGGTGCTTGAGCTTGATCACAATCACACTGGAGCATTGATGTTGCGTGCTCAGACGTTAGTCACTCTAAAGGAGTACAACTCAGCTCTTTTTGACGTCAATAGGCTCATTGACTTAAACCCTTCATCAGAAGTTTATCAGAATCTTCAGGCCCGATTAAAGACACAATTGGTATTCTTCCTTCTTTCTGTTATTAAATCCTTAGCTCTATCCTTTGCGTTTGGCTCCTTTTTTTTTAATATAATTTTCTGCTCTTGTTTCCAGCTTTTATTTAGTTTATTTATTAATTTTTTTTACGGGTTTTGTGAACTCAGCAATTTATACATGTTTGAGTTAAGAAGATGCAGCAGAGTTTGTTATACTAATAAAGAAATGAAGTACCTGCCTTGGAATTTTTTGACGTGGTTTCAGTTGTAGAAGGTACTATTTTTGAGGATCAAAGCATTCTAAGTATGACAGATGTTAATCAGATAAATTTCATCAATGTGGAGCAATTGCATTTCATGTGGCTTGGAGAAATGAACAACATTGATGTACAAAATGTCTTCTAAATTTTGTAAAGAATTTGTACTAGACGGTCGATAGCTTTAACGGACAGAAATTCGGACTTTCAAGATACAAGATGAGCTGTCCCAGAATTACATGTTGTATACAGAAAACAATCTTGATTTTGTTTAGGATGTAAATAGTAAGTGGAGAATAACTAAATCAATTGCCAAATTACTTCTGGAATAGGAAAATGTAAATTGCATTTGATTGGGGTGGTTAAGGGATTATTTGTAGCTGCTAAATATGACCTTTACAGGAGCATCACTTTTTCCAGACAGCCTTCCTACGGATATTTGTGATGCATCTTTTCTTGTACTGCGAGTCACATGGAGTCTATATCATACATACAATGTGTCGAAGTACAATATGAGCAAATTCTGATGTAGTAGTTTCACATCTTTAGGCCCATGTTTGCTCACTAGTGACAAAAGATGGTTTGTTTTGTTCGAGGAAAGTCCCTTGCTCCCATCCCTGAAGATGATGCAGAGCTTGAAGAAGATGAAGATGATACAGAACTGCAGGTGGACAAGGAGGTAAAAGAAAGAAAAGCATTGGAGGAATGTGAAGATGGAGTAGAGCAAGTTACAGAGGCGGTAGTTCCTGACGAGCAAAGGCTGAGAGTTGTGGGGTTACTGCCAGAGGGGAGGTCGCTGCTCAGAATAGTGCCGTTGGTAAGTTATCCGAACAAGATTCCTCTGGGTGGCAAGCTATCCCAAAACCGAAAGGACACTCACAACTTGACTACTCAAGGTGGGATAGAGTTGCAGATGAATCCAGCGAAGATGATGACGAAGATAGCGACAATGATTCTCAGCCCCAGTACAGATTCCGAGTGAGAACAGTTGGTGTGCGTGCGGTAAAGTAACGTCAGAAGAATTGCCCGAACAATGTATTTTACTTGACTCATTTATGACCGACTCTGCAGACAAGTGTCTGTAGAGGTAACGCCGCCCATGATGAACGGAGGTGCTGTGGTTTGAAGGCTGCAGTTGATGGTTCGTAAATCAAACTTCAAATGGTACGTGCAATGCTTTGCTGGTTGGCTGCAAATGATCAACACTGAAGCTGTTCTGTTCTGTTCAAGGGATTTTTGTGTATCTGGAGATCTTGAATGGCAAAGGCAGTGTCTCAGGACTAGCGTTTTCTGATGGGCTTGAAAAGAAGATTGAAGGATGTTATAGAACCTTGGCTTGCATTTACGATGTCTGATATTGAAGGGACATTTCTCTCCTGGCTTATTGCTGTGTTATGGGCAAAGGCGCAATCAAATTCCTTCTTCCTTTTCCTCGCACTTAACGGAGCAGATTCAGACGGTACTCAAAATGGCACATTTAGACAAGAAGCAGGGAAGCGGCTATGGAGTAGATGTTATCGTTGCATGATTAGAATGTGTTCTAGCGCAGACAAGTACTGGTGTCAAAGGATCCTGACCGGTTTTGGCTTCATTCTACAGAAAAGGCTTTTTTTTTTTTTCAATTATTTTTTGACAAGCAGAAAAGGCTTTTTTTTTTTTTTCAATTATTTTTTGACAAGCAGAAAAGGCTTTTTTTTTTTTTCAATTATTTTTTGACAAGCAGAAAAGGCTTTTAAAAAGAAAGGAAAAAGTTTTTTTGTCGACAGCAGAGCAGGAAAGAGGTCCTCTGTCCTCGTGCAGATAAAAGAAAGGTTCAATTGAAATTCAGGAGAAAGCAAATTAAAATCATCTCCGATTATCTCATTTTGTTCAAAACATTCCCAAGGTCTAAGTGTAATTGCAAAAAGAAAAATAATTTCCATTATTCAGAGGCTGGAAAGGAAAGGAAGAGTGGGCCTTAGCCTGCACCGGTCCCTTGAGTTGAGGCTTGAGCTCTCAACTTGTCATTTGTCCCAATCGATACTAACCAATGAATATATATGTTGTAATAAAACAACAAAAAGAAAACGACGGCCCCATTGTTATTTTTTTTTTTTAAAAAAAAAGAAAAGGATGGACAATTAATTGTATGGAGTTGGAGGGAAACCAAAAATTTAATTTCAAATCCAGACCCATTAACCCCAATTTGGTCCATTCCACCCAAAACTCAAAGCGCAAAAGCTTTTCGAAAAGAGAAAGTATGCTACTACTACGACTGGTAGCAGCATTTCAAAAAAGGATTACTACTACTACTACTATAAATATAAGAGTACTCTGTTATAGTAGACAATTAGTAGTGTATTATTTCCGTGGTTAAAAAAAAAATAAAAATAAAAGAGGGCAATTGAATTTTGAATGGTAAGAAGAGGGAGTAGTTTCCGTTTGTTTATGGAGTCATATATTATATAATTTGTGAGTAGAGTAGTATTTTATACTCCTCGCGCGTCCACTTTGTTAGTCTGTTTTCCTTTTTCGTCCGTCCCAAATTGTAGTCCACTTTCCCATTAAGAAATATAGTAATCTTTCAAATTGTCTAAAATACCCTTATTAAATATTTTGTTATTAATACATTGTTATTAAATACTAACCCACTGCATTGAATACATTGAGCTTTTCCAATACTAACCCATTAGCTGTAATTGATATTAATTGGCACTCTTCGTGATTAGCATAAGGGTATTTTAGAAAATTATTAATCTAAATTTATGTTTCCAACCAAATTAATTACACTTTCTTAATTTGTGTGAAAAAAAAAATCAAGACTAACAAAACGGGACGGAGGGAGTATTAATAAGTAGTGGCACGTACTTACAAAAGGGTGCATTTGATTTCCTTGAATCAATTAAAAGGTGGTCTTTTTTCTATTTTTTTTTCCCTTTTTTCCCCATAGATTTCTCCGACACCTCGTCCGCGTCCTCGTCCTCGTCCTCGTCCAGTCTTCCTTCTCCTCTCTCCCAAGAGAGAATTTCCCCCACCCCCAGCCCCCGGGGATTAAAGCTAATTACTTTTCGGGTTAGAGATGTCGAGCAGCGAGGGCGGTCGTGGGTCGCCGGACTTCTATCTACCGGACGAGATATTATCGGTCATTCCCACCGACCCCTACGACCAATTAGATCTGGCCCGCAAGATTACGTCCATGGCCATTGCCTCCCGGGTCACCAAGCTGGAGTCTGAACTGGGGAGGCTTCGCCAGAAGCTCTACGACAAGGACCGCCTGGTTGTGGACCTCGAGGATAAGCTTTCTCAGCTCCAGCACGCTTATCAGGAGACCGACTTGCGTCTCAAAATCGCTCTCGACAACAATGTACATACACTTTTCATCATCTTTTCTTCCTTTCTTTATTTTTCTTCTGCTCTGATGAATTGGTTACTTATATATATATATATATATATATATATATATAAATATAAAAGAGGCTGTAATGAATTAATTTTTGTTCTTCTCATTCTCATACTATTGAAGATGAAGCTGACAAAGGAGAGGGATTCCTTGGCCCTAGCCGCCAAGAAGCTGAGCCGTGACTTGGCCAAGGTATAGTTTTCTTACTTCTTTTTGTTCCCCCTTCCACCCCTCTATTATCTTCTACTAGTAATATTTGTTTCTACATGCTGATAACAACTTGTACTAGCTTTCTTTTTTGTTTTTCCTGGCCTAGCATTTACCTGTGTTTACTTTCTGTTAATACATTTTTCTTTGGGTGCTAAAACCTGTACTTCAACCTTTTTACCAATGCTATCATTTATTGTTGTTGTGGTCTCTGTTGTTTTTGCTGTAAACTTTTTATCCAAGTCGTTGTAAACTATGGAGCTGATATGTGAGTGCGTGTTGCCAATTGCCCGTTTTACTGCATCTTCTGCGTGTCCTGGAATTCATTAATTCATCAATTGTGTGCAAAGAGTTACGGTCTCAAACCGCCTCTACATTGAACTTGCTCGAATATGATACTCAAGTTTATTAAAATCCTCGGCCTGGTGATCTTGTTTGACAGTTGGAGACATTCAAGAGGCAGTTGATGCAGTCACTTAATGATGACAATTCATCTGTAAGTTTCCTAACTAGTCTTCCTGCTCGTATTTTCGTGGTTTATTTTGTTTGCAACTTCTATATAACATTTCACGTTGTGTCTTGCTACAAATCACTCCGAGCTCATCCTTATCAGCAAGCTGACACTGTTGATATTGGGACTTATGACCAATCAGTTCCCAAAGCCTGTCCTGCAAAAGGTAAACTTAGCTTTGCCCCTTTTTTTTAATTGCATTTCTCTCTGTGGAAAAAGGAAAACCCCAATGTGTTCTTGACAAGCATTTTGGAATTTGGTTGTTTTGGTTAAAGAAAGACTTCATGGACCTAAATGTTTCAAAGTCATTCCCAAAGACATCAAGTCTCTTTCTTATTGAGAAACACTCAATACAGGTCTATAATCTTTCGCGAATTGCCACCTTTTCTGGAAATGTTTTACGTCATACAATGAGAAAATGTATCCTTTCTGTTTCCCAACATTGGTTCCATTTGGCTGGACCTACAGACAAAAGGATTCTTGCATTTGCAGATCTTTGCTTCTTCTTCTCCTCTCTCCCTCTCTCTCTCTCTCTTTCTGCATTGAAATCTGATTCGAGCCTCAGGATCTATAAGTTTATTGTTGTTCCCTCCAAATGGTGACTTTGGCATTTAGATCTATGTGCTCCTCTATTAACACGTCTACCTACTCCACCTTGCAGATGAGGAGGTGAATGGCTACACAACACAACATTATTCTTCCTCTGGAACAGATACTGCAAGCATTTCTGATGATGGTAGGGGCTATGAAATCCTTCTTCTGGATCACCTTGGATACCTGCTTAGGTTATATCGCTTATCTGATTTATCTTGCTCCTTTTTGTTTGGCTTGCGGTACCACAGCCTCGAAACAAAGTGGGTTGAAATTTTCTATGACACCGTATTTATCTCCACGTCTTACTCCTACTGCAACTCCAAAAATCGTCTCTGCTAGTGTGTCCCCTGGGAGGTATTCTGCTGCAGGATCCCCTCAAAAAACTTCTGGTGCTACCTCTCCTACTAAAAGCCAATATGAAATGCGGGGTTCACTATCATCATGGTACCCATCAAGCCAGCAGTCATCAGCAGCAAACTCTCCCCCTCGTGGTCGCCCCATGCCAGGTCTGCTGAATTCTGGATATTAGATTTCATAATTGATAGCTAGTCTTAAAGGTAAAGCCTATCAATCTGCAAAATATTTTGTGATGTGGGGTTGTTCTTAGTCATATCATCATCGTTAAGGAAGGACATCTGATTGGAAGCTGTATTAATTGCTGTGTCTGGTAGCTAATGAATTCTGTGCATTTTAATATGGTTAGACAGCTTCTGATCTTTTTTGCATTTTCTTTTTATGGATTTGGAACTTTTAAGCTCGCACTCCTCGAATTGATGGAAAAGAGTTCTTTCGTCAAGCAAGGTAGCTACCAACTTTTTGCTCTTTCTGTTACCCTAACTTGATTGCTTAATTCAGAGGGATTATAAACTTGTTCGATTGCTTCTGGACTGTTTATGTAGGAGCCGTCTATCCTATGAGCAGTTCAGTGCATTTCTGGCCAACATAAAGGAACTAAATGCGCAAAAGCAATCCCGTGAGGTATAAACCACGGAAGTTAATCTTATTTTTTTATCCTGGTTTCATGTAGCCCTGTTAACTGCACAATCTCTTTTCTTTCAAACAACCAGGAAACTTTGAGGAAAGCGGAACAGATTTTTGGTATGGATAACAAAGATCTATACCTATCTTTTCAAGGTTTGCTAAATCGAAACGTACACTAGAAGGAATTTTCTGGGAAGTGTTTGCAGAGGAGGTATAATTAAGTTCACCATCCTTCAGGTGCTTTCAAAATTGCAAATATATATATATATATATAATTATTCAATAATTGAATATTTTGTGACTTGTCTATCTCTGTTTGTTGTATCACAGTTTGGGGGTCAAGTCTCTGGTAACAGCTGAATTTCGCCACAAGATATTTTTCACTGCGCAAATTTGTGGAAGTGCAAATGAGCAGGGACTGAACCAGTGAGATATATCTAGGACTAATTGTTGAATCCCATGGTGCCTGGTAGTGATGCGCTGAAATTATATCAGCACTGGCTGTCCGTACTATGGTATGTATTGACCCTGGTTCACATTGGACGGGATTCTGTCTACTATATAGGTAGACGACTGTGATCCATTTAGCTGCTCGACTTCATAACTTGTGTATTAAGGCATATTTGAGGACAAAAACCAGCCTATGACAAAAATCTCACTTCTGTTGCTGCTTCTAATGATGAAATGCTTGCTTGTGTTTGGGCAAATGCAATCTATTATGTCGACTTCTCCATTGAGGTTTGCATGCATCAAAACTCGTCCTTTGAGCTATATGAATTCGCACGTTCACCTGTTGTTGCTGCTTGTTTGTATTTATTTAAGGCAAAAAACAAAAAAATCCTTTTACTAAAAATATATATTGATATTAGTTTATCGAAATAAGAATTTATTTGCAGAGACATAAAGCATCTCGTTGTGGGGGAAGAGCGAGCGCTGATGCTAAATGCCAGAACTCAGAAGCATGCCTAGTCCTCCTTGTTCTTGGCTAAAAATATATAAAGAGTCACACACTCTATGCAATTTATGAGGAAAAGAAAAATTAATAATTTAAGTTCTGATCTTCGTTTTGACAGAAAGGATTGGGATGCCGACCTAATGGTAAACAGAGAACTGAACATGTAGATAAAAGGATTGACAAAGCTGTGACTAGAGAATCTCATCTTGCTTAGGGTAACAAAGAAAGTGTACTGTCCAAAAAAAAAAAGGAAAACTGGCAAAAAAAAGATCGATCTGCAGTGATCTGATGCCCCGCTCGAGATTCATATTCATTTCCTTTTCTTTTTTTTTTTGGCTTGTCAGGCAACACGTTGGTGCAACATGACCTTGTTGGCAAATGAATTCCATCTACTTTCAAAGTAGCGGACGGATTAAAAGAAAAGACTAAAAGAGGAGGGAGACTAGATGTCGAGCGATCAGAGAACAAAGCGTACCGTGTACTTAGCAACTCTCGCGTCTGGATCTTTCTTCAGAGGTGAGAGATATTTTCCTCCGCTTTTATTCCAAAGTTGGAAGATTTCCATCAAATCATTTGGAAATTTTGTCTTCTAAGATGCATTCAAAGACATCATTGTGTGAACCACACGAAGTAACCCATAGATGCAGTAGTGAAGCATTAAGATAACATTGGTCCATCTCAAATTGCAAGTGTAAGCTTTCTCCTGCCTCCAATTCAGTACTCCAGACGCTTCCTTTCCTCTCACATCACATCACTAGTTAATCTTCCAGACGCTAGTTTCTGTGATTGAGGAATTTTATAGCAATTTGTTTGCTCTTCATCAGGCTAGGCTTCAGTAGTTCTTTATTCTGTGGGAATTGAAGAAATGAAAAAAGAAATATATATATTCGTAATCACTCTCAGGAATAAATTGTTGTGGACCAGATTAAGTTATATAGTAGATCATTAGGCGTTGAACCGCAAGTTGTGCTGTGTAACTAGCAAGTTGTGACCGAATGGCGGCACCATCCTTGTAGTCTGCTAAACATGAACGAGGTTTTACGCGGTGTCGGTAAGGATAAACACTGAAATCAAAATTCGATGAAGTTGGAATGCATCTGGGGGCTAGTGGGTGGGTGAAAAAGGCCGACGTTTTTTTTTGCCCCTTTAAGCTTAGCTGGATAACTTCTGTGATGATGGAATATGGGAGCCCCGCCAGAGGAGACGCAGTCGTACTACTCAGCACCTGATGCTAATCCAAAAGCAGCAGCAGCAGGCGATATGTACATGATGATATGCATCTTTGGCTGTTTTTATTTTTTTCCAACCCCCCCCCCCCCCAAAAAAAAAAAAAAAAAAAAAAGAAACTCAAAAAGTTATCTTAATCTGATTTCTTTCTCCTCCATCTTTCTGCGGCGCGGAGAATAGGGCGAAGCTTGTGTAAGAAAAATTCTACCAAGTGGAAAAGGGCAGCAGTGGCCCGCATGGAAGTGGCATTCCTAAATGCTTGCTTTGATTCGTCTCGCAAAGATTGGGGACTACAGCCTCCACCTTCCTTGGCCCAATTATGAATGAATTCTTTCGTTCGTTCGTTCGTTGATTCACCATTTGTCATAATTAATTAAAGCCCCAAAAAAAAAAAAACTCATATTTTAACTCGACGCATATTAAAGCCAAGCGGAAGAGGGTTGTTCCAATTGAGTTTTATTTAAGAGAACTGGAAGATAAAACAAAAACTTGGTAAGAGGCGGCTTGTATTGTACTGTAGACTGTAGATTTGGCAAGTGAGGAACAGGTGAAGGAACAGGAAATGCGGAATCTCGTTCTGGGCATAATATATATGTGGATTGTGGCGCGTTAATGCACAATCTGTGAGTAGCCCCCCACCCCATGTGTTGGATTCGTAGCCTAAAAGGAAGGAATAGGTCACATCTTTGCAATCACCAGATAACACCCGATATCAGTGTACTACCATACCATACCATACCATACTAGTCCAAGTCTTCAAAGTTTACCGCCACTGAGAATAACAGGACACCTCTGATGGTTACGGAATATGGGTTTCCTTTTTTTTTTTTTTAACCAAAAAAAAAAACACCTCTTATGTTATGCTTATGCATGCATCTTTTTGCCTTTTTTTTTTTTTTTTGTTGATAATTGGCCTTTTGTTTGTGCACATGTTTTGAGATGCCCAATGGATTCCTCTTGGATTTTGTTTTAGAACCCAACCCCAGCAGCTGATCGAATTTTATTCCATCGGGTAGGACTTTTTTTTTTTTTTTTTTTGGTTCCATCCCTTCTGGACGGGGAAGGATTGAGAGCCTAAGGCGAGTATCACGTAAAACTCCCAAAACTGATACCTTAATCAACTTTGTAGACAGGATATCTGATTAGTGTGGAACTATGCATGTGATTAGCAGAAGATACATATATGTATATATATAGAGGTTTGTTATGGCAGGGGAATACATAAAACTCGATGATCTAATGCTTTCGTTCGTTTCCTATGACTTATTTTTCATTTTTATAGAGGCATGTCGCATGGGTGGTAAGTGCTGGTGGCGGTATTTAGCCATCTCAAAATGTTGCTACCCTGCGGCTACAACTACACAGTTATGTTATGGAGTACTTACTACACAGCGTGTCGTGTCAGTAGTGGAGTGCATACTATCGATCGCTACGAGTTTTATTTTAACTGCTTTTTCAGCAATTCGTGCATGAATTAAAATTAATTCGTATGCCGAAAACAATAAAATCATGCTGCTCCCTCCTCCACAAAGCACTTTGTTAATTAATTACCTTCATCAAAATCCATTTTCCAGAACCAACAATTAAAATTCTTCATTCATTTTGGTTCTTCTCAAGCAATTTCCTTTTTTTTTTTTTTTTTGAATGGACTGTAACCTGGTATTCTAACCTAAAGGAATCGAACTAAACTTTGGTTCAAGGATTTCCTCTTACTAACATTTCAACTGTTGACTGAAAGCTCGTAACACAACAGTACTGTAGAGCAAAGAAAATGTATATATATATATATATATATACACACACACACACACATGCATGGTTGGGGGGTGGTGGCAACAGGCAGCAGGCAACAGTGCAACTGTGGCAGGGAGAACAAGTTGCCTGCCTCGAAAAGCTTTTACTACTACATATGCTATAAATACTAAATGGGCATATAAAGCATTTGACACCGCCCACAACACCTCCCCTGTTCTCTTCTCTTCTCTTCTCTCCTCTTCTCTCAATGGCTTCCTTTTCTCAGTTTTACTACCCTGATAACTACGTGTGCTCTGATGAATTCACCACCCAGCTTCCAGCCGATCACCTCATCACATCCTCCGCCATCACTGCTCCTCAACTAACCTTACCTTTCTCCTCCGACATGAATGGAGCATCAGTTAGTAGTATGGTCCCTTTTGATTCAGATATCAGCTGCTCCTCCACCCCTCCTCCTCCTCCTCCTCCTCATCCTTGTCGTCAATAGCAGCAGCATTATCATACCCAACAGCCGAACCGCTTGGGCCTTCGGATACAACCCATGACCCAGCATTAGTAGGGCCACTAGTTATGCTACATTATCAGGCACCTTGTTGGCATTTCCGGAAACGAAGGTTTGAGCAGTGGTGCCGGCAATTACTGCCACCAACATGATCGGGCATATGACTTTGGAGATCAAGAATGCGGCGCCCCGGCTTCCAACTTCTGGCCTCTCTATCGCGCGGCCATGACCTCCGACAATTGGGTACCCAGTTTATCTACTAGTGCTAGTACTTTTTTCTCCTTTATTAATTTATGTACTAATTTTTTAAAACCCTTCACCACGTGCAATTAATTCACAAGCTTTTGTCATATATATATTTTTATTTCAAAACAAAATAGTTTATTTATTTATTGTTTTTAAAATTTTTTCTCTATATTTGGAAATCCATACTACTCTCTATTCTTACAGGACTGAAGGAACATTTTTATTTTCTTGTTCATTAACATAGCTGACAGGTTAAATTTCATGTGTTAGGAAATTCAAGGCGGGGTAGCACAAAGGATGGAAGAGGCGACATTGAAGGTCTCCCGGTATTCAGCTGAAGAGAGGAAAGACAGAATTCTCAGATACTTAAAGAAGAGAAGTCAAAGGAATTTCAACAAGACTATCAAGGTTACTTGATGATCAGTTTACATGCGTCCTTATTCTCCGTCAGTATATATAATATAATGGACCATGAATTTTTTTCCTTCCCCCTGTATATATATGTACCACAAAGTTAAGGTTTCAGCATTTGATATCTATATATATAGTTCTCTTTTTTTGAGGGAAAAAACAAATATTGCACTGCTTGCTTGTGCAGTATGCCTGTCGCAAAACCCTAGCCGACAAGAGGGTCGTCCGTGTTCGTGGGAAGATTTGCCAGGAATAATGAATGTTGCGAAGATGATCAAACGCTAGTACTGGTGAAGACAGATAGCAATCTTCAACAAGCAGATTCATGCTACACACATTCCTGCCGACGACCAGGTAACCGATTAACTATAACTGACGCGGTGCTTGATTAATTAATTGTCAAACCATCACCGCTCGCACGTCATCACTTCATCATGTCGATCATATATACTATTATCATACTCCGCGCCGGGGCTAGGTTGCTAAAAAGTAATCTTTGACCGGCCACATATGTAGACTATATGCTTGTTAGTTACATTAATTACTGGAACAGATCATGAAATCCTATGACGAGGAATGGCTGCAGGAGGCTATTGCCAGCCTTATGTGTTATCGTATAGCGCCGGATAATGGACTGGAGCTTCCGGACAAGTACCTGATGAACTAGCATCTTTCTCCAAGCTGGGAAGCCGGCTGATTCATGCTATTTATTTTTGGTCCCCTCATGGTAAATCATTGTAATACTAAGATATTTGGCCCGTTCATGATTTTTTCTTGTTTCTGTGGCTTAAGCGCGCAATTCGTTGTTCATGGTTGAGATCCATATATATCGGCTACTGAGCTTAATTAGCTGGACAACCATACGTGTTTGTGATTGCTAATTCGGATGAAACATGCTGCAGGATACTTCCAATACACCATACATACATACATAGTAGCTATTTGACCCTACGTGCAAATATTTTTAATCAAAGACGGTTTGGATTCTTTAAGTTAATACGTGACTTTTCATCTTTCATGTGCGATGAATTTTGGCAACTTTTGAGGGGGGAAAAACCAAAATTTATTTATAGAACGAATCGTTACCGCATCTGACCTCCCAAAATTACAAACCATTTCCAGTCTTATGTTATCAGTTGGGAAGCGGGAGACAGGGAGAATATCTTCTGGGCTTGGGGTAATATTTAAACACAGGTACTACACAAATGACCAAACCCCACTTTGATTCAGTTTCCAGCCATATGCAAGACCGGGAACAACGATCAACAGTTGGGGTTGAAATTGGAAGTTTAAGAACATTTAGCTTGCAATTTATTACGGAATTTCCCAGGCTTAAAATGTTGAATAACTGCAGATAAGCACCCTTTTTTTTTTCTTTTGGATTACGTAATTTTATATAATGGTTGGTACGTGTGACCAGGGTAAGGTTCGGGATGGTTACGTTTTACGTGCATGGCCAACAACCAAACTGGCTGACAGACAGGAATCTATGTTTGAAACTAATGAAAGCAAATTTTGTATGAATACGAAGAAAGACAAAAAAAAATTAAAGAGGAAATTTTGTTGTGGATGATCAAATAAAAACAATTATCAAGTGTTAATGAATTATTAAAAGATAGCGATTCGTGCCGGATTGTTGCAAGCTGGAGAGGGATTGCAAAATCGAGAAAAAAAAACTGCGTATTTAGTATAGAATGGAACTTTAACAACAAAATTTTAATATTTCATATGTATTATAGCTGCACAATAGATATTGTATAATTATTTACTGAATGTCTAGCTGAGAACGCATATGATGTAATGAACACATATTAATTCCTTGCTCTGTTCAATAAGTTGACCAGCGCCACACTAGCTAGTTGAGCTAATGCTGGTACGTACTAATTTCAAAGTAATTAGTGATTCGAAAGCATAGTGATGTTGGCTTATGATAAAAACTCTTTGGGATAATATACTACTGTACTGAGTACTGCTGTTTAAAAACATCACTCGCACTTAGCCTGCATGATTGCGATATTTGTTTGATAGGTAAATAGTGCATTATTATTAAAGAACAGGAATTAAGGCACAAAATATATATATATATATATATATATATATATATATTTTTTCATCTTTTCTGCAAATTTAAAGTCAAGCACGAAAGTCAACAAAAAGATGCCAAGTGCGGTGGAAAGAGGCCCCCTCCTAGTTAAGTTTTCTGAAGAATTCCTCGTCAGAGAATTTGGAGAGGAGGAGGAAGGAAAAGATAGGTGTCACAAGCAGGCATTCTCCTGATCGTAAGAAGGCACTAAAGATTGTTATACTGAGGTGACTGCAACATCAACTTTGCAAATTTGTCCCCATCGCCAGATCATATACTACTGTAACCCTGCAATCCAATTTAATCATTCCAATGCCAATACTCCAAAGAATTGGGTTGCAGTGCGATAGAACATTAGAGAACTGCATGTGATTGCAACTAAATCCACTGGCCGGGTTTCGTTGGAGATAGCAGTAATATGTTTGATCAAATCAGGCATGATGGAAACAAATACGCCAGCCCTTCCCCTGCAACTAGATGGGGAATTAATGGAAATGGTGGCGGCCGGGCTGGGGTGATGCCCTGTCCTTGTCGATGCAGCAGCGCAATCATTACCGAAATCACACAAAATGAGGGAATACAGAAGAAATCAGTCTAGTGTGTCCGTCCTTTGGAGTTGAGGTAGGGCTAACTGAGGATGGTTATGTCTTGAGTGGGATGTAAAAGTCTGTGACTTGTGAGCCTACGAGATAGCTAAGCTTAGGCCTTAGCAGTAGCTGTACAGTTTATGATTCCGATCATTTTCTAGTGTTGCAGGAATGGATATTGGGGCTGGCTCCAAATTCATGTTCAAGGGTTCGATCAATCCCCAGTAGATTTGTCGGCGATAACTAGTTGTCTTGCAATCCTATTTGTGACCACAAAGCTGGGGAGTCGAAGCCACTCACCACCACAAGTACCACCTCAAGGCCCCAACACACTGTTGATATATTAAAACTCAACACCGTCTCTCTCCTATTGGTTGACCACTAACGCTCTTTAATCGCCATCCTGAGGTCAATAATCTCTAGCATAATCTTGTGAGCAATAATCACTATGCCCAATAAAAACAGTGGTGATACTGATCTCCAAAGTGATTTGTGATTGGTAACTTAAGCTAAGCTTCCTTTGGGTCATGAGGACCAATGCATGAAACAAGACTTTATTACAAATAATACACATTGATTAATGGTCAAATGACTTCCGTGACAAGACAACTAAATGTTGTACCAATTTAGTATGGGAAATGATATTAATACTCCTTGAAGTAAAAAAAAAAAAAAAAAAACCTTAGACACACATTTCTTTCTTTTGCATTAGATTAAATTTAATTAAGGGGTGAGTGCCACTATCATTTCCTATATATTTAGTATACTTGATGTAATTTGCATCGTAATGGAATGCGGAAACAAGATGCTTGCTTCACTTGTGCTCTTGACCATTAACACAAAACAACTTATAAATTCCAACATGATCAGTACTCATCAACTCCTCCATGAAGCATAAAAATCAATTACTGTAGGTTTCTTTGATCATCGGAAGCTCCTAACCACGTGGGATTTTAACTTTCATGATCACGCATTCATTGGCTGTCTACCAAACGGATATATATATACACACACACACACTAGTGTGGCCGTGTAAAGAACTAAATTATTAGTACAGAATGGTTGTTAAACCAATGAATCCATGAAATAATTACTTACTGTAGTACAATTATTATAAATAAGAAAAAGGGTACTGGGAAAATGACATACAGAAGATTCGAGCAGCGCGCAGCTTTCTTTCAGGTGATCATTTCCGCATTTTCTGAAGTTGAAAAGTTTTGGCCGTTGGAATCTCCTCTTTCGATTTAGGGACTGATTTGACTACTCATAGATTTTGCAAAATGCACATGAGGTTTTTGTAGAAGAAGAAGAAGGCGAAAGGAAAAAGAAAAATGAGAGGCCATGAAGGTGAATTGGACAGTGACCTGTGCTTTGACTCCAAACAGTAGTGCGTAAGCTGGTCCCCTCAGAAGCTAGTAGCTACACCAACTAGTTGAACAACAAATTTTTGCAGACGAGGATTCTCCATTTGAGATTGCTATCATAATTATAGGTCGATTAGTGGGATGCAAAAGGTTCATTGCGCTTGAACAAGATTGGAAGTAGTAACAGTACCTGTGAAGTAACATTTTGCAATCTATAGTTTTGTGCTTGGCCAAAAAAACCCGTCTCTAATCAGAATGGAAACTTCTAAACGGGGATAACTATAATGGAATGTTGACAGACAAAAAAAAAAAATAGGCCTTTGTATAGACTAGTAGTAGTAGTTTTATTGGAGCAGTACGTACATGATAATAATATCAATATGGCAGCATGCACGCGACGCGCGGGTAAACAATACATTTGTAATGATTCTTCTTAGTACAAGTGATTAGCTTTCCTCGGGCGCGGCAATCCAATAAATTTGTTAGAGTGATAGCCTTAATGGCCCATGTCGTATCCCATAAAAATGTGTTTCGGCCCATTAAACAAGGGTTTAAATCATACTAACTTCAAACAGGCCCAGCTAGTCCTGCAGTTTTGTAAATCTTCTTCCGATAGTCACGCCTTAAAGGTAACTCACCGGCACAGACCAAAACGCCTGACATCCTTTTTTTTTTTTTTTTTTAATCTATTGTCACTATTTACACCTATTTCTATTCATATTTCTATATTTCTACACCTATACTAAGGGAAGGGCTACGGAGAACTAATAAGACTGAACTACTCTCGGACTAATTTTTTTTTTTATTATCATTTACACCTGCTCTTACTCATAGTCCTACACCATCTACACCTATACTAAGGGAAGGGCCATGGGGAATCAATGAGACTGACCTACCATTGGACTATACACGGGTGCACTAAACACCCATATGAATTTAAAAGAAATCACATTAAGTGACAATTTTAATGAAAGGGAGGCAATGTTTAAACCCTTATCTCTGATTCCACTCCACAAGACATGCGGTGGTCAACTACTCCAAAGAAGTAGTTAGTGCCTGATTTCACTTTACAAGCCTGCACCTGCTGTACAAACGTTCTCGGGTAACTTGAAGCGGAAAGACATGTCGTGGAACTAGAAATAAAATGCCTTACAAGAGAAGGCGTATACATCTAATGAACTACTGCAACTGAAAAATTGAAAATCATAAGCATATATAATCACGCGCCGATACAAATTAGATAGGTACAAGTGTATATACTATGGCATGCGTGGTTAGTGATTGGTATATCAAATTAATTTAAACAAACTCACGAGTCAGGCGGGTAAAGGATTCAGAAAGTGAGCAATTAAACTCCCAAAAACAAAAAAAAAAAAAGAAGAAGAAGAAGAGGGACAGGGGAGTCAATCCATAGTAGTATAGTAGTAGTACATGGAAATGTATACAGCTACAGGAATTAGCTAGGGATGTGGGTGTATGACATGTATATGCAATATTATGCTAGTACGACCACAAGGAATCCCCAATATTGCCCTCATCCAGCATCATGGGCGGCGTATCGGTGTTGAAATGGGACGAGGTGGGCTCAAGATGGCGATGATCCCTGGACGCGGTGGGAGAGTGATTCTGATGATGATGATCAGGTGGCGCAGAGTTGTGATCAGTGGCACAGTGGTACTGTTATAGTACTGATCCTGGGACATAGATATCAGCGAGGAGGAGGATTGGGTGGAGGAGATTCGCATTTGGAGAACTTGAGCCTGTGCAAGTGCCAACTGAGACTGCAGGAGGTCAACCTGGTTTTGTAGAGAAGATATAGCACTCACGCACCCGTACACTGGATCCCTCATCCTCGCGTTTGCCTCGTACACCATAGCACTCACTGCATCCCCTCGCTGTTGCTCTGGCAGCTCCTGCATTATTAAGTTAAATGTTAAATTTCGGGGATGAAGGAAAACGGGATTTCAATAATTACTTGAATCAATCGAAGGCACTGCGCTGCTGGCTCTTTGACTAATTAGCAAATACTAGTACATATACATCAGCATCCCTTTAGTATAGGCTAACTGCAAAGTGCAAACTTAATCTTCTTCTTCAATTTTTTTTTTTTTTTGGGGAAGAGGGGGTTTGGGGGTACATAGAGGGAAAGGGAATTGAAAAAAGGGATTCATGATTAAACCTGAAGCATCTTGTTTACATTGCTGGCACCAAACACCTTATGGACGCTGGCAAACTTGTGCGGCTCATCAGCTGGAAAGTAGGGAGCAAAAACACATTCCTGAGAACATCTCCTCCTTAGAAGCTTGCATGCTGCGCAAGGGGAACCGTAAATTCGGACTTACACTAAAAATGAAAATTTAAACATTTTCAGTATCATTGGCTCCACAGAATGTTGATGTGTTAAACTTATACATAGTGCTCTCGTGTACTTCCTATTCTGCATCTATTCAGCATAAGGATATTACCCTCTACAAGCCTCTCCAATATGTCAAGGCACTAAGGCCCCAACAAATGGATAGATAAACCATGCAAAGGAGGCTCAAATCCAAACAATAATGTCATAGATGAGACTTAAGAAATCTGCCATGCAAATTAACTTGATTTGCGAATTCACATATCTGGGCCCTCTTTAGACTTCAAACTGGGGCATTACAGATTGCATGACCAGCCCACTATTTGAACATGTATAACAGTATGTACATGAAAAGGAGCTACCAGATTTCATAACAAAACCTAAGTGGCCGCCCATCTGTTTGTTGATAAAAGATAAGAATAATAATTCAAGCAAAGTTAATCATACCAGCACTGCAAGAAGCAGGAGGGTCCTTCTGCAAATCCTTAAGTTCCTTCTGGATCCTCTTGGAGGCCATTACAGACTTTGAAGTTCACAATTGCAGGCAAAAAAATATTGGCTACACCATATATTCAAAAATTAATTCTCCAGTTCTTTAAATTTCAAAAAAGGCATCAAATTATTTTCACTACAAGAAAAGAGACTCAAGAAATCCAAGAAAACAGGAAATAGCCACTGTTCCCCTTTAATTAAACACCACCTAATTAAAAAGGGCCAACGACCAACATAACTGAAAAAGATATGTACGTAAAAGCTTAAACTCATCTCAAGAGCTTTCATCATAGAGAACACAAAAAACCACATGCTTAGTTAAACACCCAAAAACATCCATCAGCATAGGTAACTGTACTCTCTATAGAATTTTAACATCCAACTGCGAAGACAGAAATAAGCAAGCAAGTTAGCAGCACTTAAAAAAATTAGCCACGAGGAAAGTACCAAAGTACCTTATAAATAAAATCAACCAGTACATGCAGCATAACATTTTTGTTATCCTTTTGGTTCAGACAGACGTACATAAAAAGGATCGATCGATACATAAAATAGAAAAGCAATTACATCTATGCATGCTCAAGCCATTCAAAGTGTCGAAATGATGCATGAATAAAACGCATACAGGGAGCTATTAAAAAAAAGACGAGTATAAGGAATTTAAAACATAGATCGCACAAAAAATAAATAAATAAAGGGACAAAAAAGCCAAATCAATTAAACAAGATAAACTTATTGAGAGACACGATATGTTCAGTTATTCTCTTCCTTCCACAGTATCAAATCCCCACCAAACCACATACCCAAGGGAAGGAAGGGGGAAAAAAAAAAGAACTCTGCTACAGTACTGTGCTACGGCCTTCTTCCAGTCCCTACCCACGGTCCCCAACCCCCAACCCAAAAGAAGGAAATCATTAACAATTTAAAACCGCAGTTCAACCGATCAACCCTCCTTCTTCCCCCAGTTCTGATCCAGCCTCGGATTAACTCAATTGCTAGAAGATACACACACGCGCACGCCCCCCTCTCCCCAAAGGGAAAAAAAAACGAAGCCTTCCGGAAACCGGCGGCGGCGGCCCTAAAGGCGACACATGTAAAATTCGCATGCATAAAAACATAAAAAAATTGCACCGAAATTTTGGGGAAAATGGAGGAGTAAGGCTAGGGTTTGAAATTGGCATCGGTTACGAACCTTATTCGATTCGAGAGAGGAGAGAGAGGGGGAGGGGAAGGACGAACCCCAGACCCGTGCGGGAAATAGAAAATAAAGATAAGAAAATTTATTGGAGAAAAATAAGCCCTCGAAACTGAGTATAAATAAGCAGACGCGGCAGAAAAGTTGTAGGGGGGCTGGGGCCTGGTGGTATTTATATGGGGCTCAGTCCATGCCGTGGTATTTATATGGGGCTCAATCCATGCCGCGTGTGTGCTGGGTTCCGTTGCTCCTTCCTGCTGCTGCCGCTGGCGGTGCCTTACATGGACCTTGACCTTCCTTCCACTTCCCATCCGGTTTCCTACTCGCCTTCACTTTTTTCTTTTTTTTTTTTCCTTTTGTCCTTGAGGAATGCCAAATAAATTGCCTCACATGACTCAGAAATAATAATATTTTATGTTGATCGATCGAAAGAATTAATTACTATTTGACATGCCTAGTAATTGGTGTCAGATTAATTGGAAAATTTGTTGATTTCAAATGGGGCTTAATTAGGTTTGTTTAAATAGCCTTATTTATGTATGTATCCAAACGTAACTCTAAACAATTACTACTAATCAGTCTGAACATGTTACTGTGATTTATAATTATAATAAAGTATGACAGTTTTGCTGGTTTTTTTATTATTATTATTTTTTTGGCAATTTAAGATATTGAAAGCATAAACCACTTTTATTTTTATATTTAACTCCTAGGCCTCACTTTTCAAACAAGCGGAAAAAAAAATGAAAAAAGAAAAAGGAGGCTTAGGTCTGATTACGTTAAAGTGGTCCACGATTCTTTGTTCCTTTTATTCGGTTGACAGCAAATAAGTTCCGGCAATATTTAAAAGGAAAAAAAAAGAGGAGGACCATTTCCTCATATCATTACTTTTGATGGTGAAATTATGCTTCCAATGTGCTAATTCATAGCTTGAAAATTACGCCAATTTATTAATCAAATCTTTTCTTAAAGCATTTCATATTATTCGCCAAATGATATTTATATCAACAAAATTCAAGTACTTTACAAAAACCGCGAAAAAAGCCCGTTTTAAATTTATTTTTTAAATAATTTATGAAAAATTATTTCATTACTTTTCGAGAATGTGATGTATATGAAATCGAAAAGTAATAAAGACGATTTAAATATAAGATCAAACTAACACAAAAGAAAGTCACAAGTATTCATTCGGGTAAAATACAAAAAACTCCCTTGTGGTTTCACGAAAAGACACCTTACTCCCCTATCGTTTAGAAACATACACATAAACACCTTAAACTTCATTACTAAAGTGGAAATTGACCTTTAACCGGATGTGCTGGTCGAATATCAGGTAACAAGGCAGGCTGAAAACTGGACCTGTGAACATCTCCTAGGATCCAATTGAGGATCATTAAAGACCCTCGCTTCCTGCAGAACAGCACCCTTCTCGATCCCCATGAATGGAGAGTAATCCACTACAGATTAAAGAATCGAAATTACAACATCGGATTTCATTGACTGCTACACTCAGGCAAGGTTCAAACAAATTCCAAAGGCTAAAGCAGATCTGAGCCAAAGTTAACCGATCTCTTCGAAATTAATGTAGTGAAGAACTAACCCAGGGCTACAAATACAAATAGTTAATAAATCCACAGGACCAGTATTTCAACTTCTGCTAATTCCTTTTTTTTTTTTTTGTCTTTTTGCTTTTTAAGTGGGCACAGGTTTTGGATAAAGTGTTTGATCCGTGTGTCTTCTGGTTTTTAAAAATTTACCACTTCCAGATGGAATTTCATTGACTAAATTTGCTTGCCATATATGGAAATTGAACTGGTTATGTATTTTAGCAATTTTTCACCAGAGGATCCATTCAATGACAGACATGGTAAAGCTAGAACTCAACTCTCCCGTTTCTGAACAATGAAAGGTATGTCTTCACTACTAAAGGTCGTCTCATGTTGCAGAGTGTTCTGAAGGATATTCAAACTCAGAATAAAAAATTTGGATGGAAAATCTTGCGATACCATATTCCCTCTTTCATCAATGTTGTTCCTACAGACCTGAAGCATTGGGTCTCTGTTTTAACAAGCCTCACTGCACTTTCTTCTCCTCAGATTCGAAGTCCGTAACAGCTGTAATCTCTTATTTTCAATCTTCTCAAGCTTGGCAAACATTTCTTTTTGACATCTGCATTCACGTGATTATCAGCACCAATTTTCCTGACAAAGCTCGTTTCTTGTCAATCTGTATGGCAGATCTGATTCATAGCAAATTTGCTTTGGTGGTGTCGCATGCTGCTGATACCATTGCAAGACTGGAGAAAGAAGGAGTGTTGCGGATCTCTTCGCTTCTGCCTTCTCTCTCTTCTGTATGCTTATATCGGGTGGGAGAGTGAAGTCGAATCGCAGATATCTCTTTGGTCGACGTTGTACAAATTAGTTTCCCTGGACAGTAACTTTTTTCTTTTTTGTGAAGGAATTGGACAGCCTGCCAGGGTATTTGACCTTCTGCCGGTAATTAAGCCGGTTCAAAAGGTAATTTCCATTTGAGTTATGAAGTTTATGGTGTTTATGTGTAGGTTTCTAAACGATAAGGGGGTGAGGTGTCTTTTCGCGAAATCACAAGGGGTTCCTTGTATTTTACCCTATTCATTCAAGTGGAAGATGTGCCGTCTTGTTTTGTAAACAACAGCCCATAAGTTACTGGGCTGACATTAAGCTGTGCAATTTTTCCCAGGCCATGCCTGTTGGCCCGCACCAACTATGAGCATTAGCAAATGGGCGGTCAATCATGAGACGCAAGACTTGGAAATCCAATTTATCGCGATCACCGGCGGAATGCTGCTGCCATCAAATGCCAAGGAAATTATAAAAATATACATTAAAAAATATGGGCTAATTATATTGACCTCCCCTAAAGTTTAGCTAAACTATCAATTTAACCTCAAAGTTTGACTAAATAACAGATATACCCCTATGCCTTACATCTGCTAAATATGACCACCGGAGTCAATGAAATGACAAAAATCCCCGGCACACAAAACAACATTTAATTTTACTCAATGTACCAATTGGCCATTACCAAACAAGTTTATAAGCCGGGATGAACATAATTGTTTGGATTGCAGTTTATTTGTCAAAATGTATTTGCTTACATCATCATTACAATTTCCAACACACCTTTTTATCTTTCCAATTACCTTTTTATCTCGCATACATCACATCACAAAAAGTGCTACAGTAAAAATATCTCTAATAATTCACAATCCAAACAAAAATTGACAAACTTGACACCGATGAATTGTAATAAGGACATTAATTTATTTAGAAACGGTTAGTGCAATTGGATTTTGTTAACCCAAATAAGAATACATTAAGAGTTGTTAATATTAAATTCACTGCTGGTGTATGCATCATCATAATTGAATATATGACATATATGTAAATCTTTTATTTTAAATTTAAAATTAAATTAATTGTCATGCATTCGACAAAAATAATTTATATCTACTTCTTGTCAATTTATATGGTAGCCAAAGGTAAAGGGCAACCACACATGCTAGGTAAATGAGTGGCCATTTTTGGTGATACAGTAATACTAACACTGAAGTAACAAAATCAACACATTAGAGTTGAGCTGTGAATGTCAAGACAAGTTTGTTCACCCAACGAGGTTAGATTACTCGAGAATTTTGCTTTCGATATAAGAATTGCATCGACCAACTATGCATAATAATCTTATAAGCGAGTTGTAGTACCAAATGTACGGTGTGTTAGTGACCAAAGCGAATCTAAAACTTTTCAAACCAAAAAGGCAAATAAAGGGTGATAGCGATCATTAACAAAAAAAATGTCCAACGTTTGTTAAAGATGTGAATTTCTCGTTTTAATTCAAACACTACAGCTTTAAGAAATACTTTGGGGCGTGGAAAGAAATACTTAGAAGGTTGGGACCGTTGGACAGAGAAAGCGAGACGATACGTGGTGGGTTCAGCACGAATCCTGGAGTTAAATAGTAATAAATAGTCTCACCAGCAGAAACTCGGCTAACTAATATATTATACCCAACAAATCCAAATGTTCCAGGACCGAATTTACCCATCACGTGTCTCGTGTCTCAGCCACCATCTCCTCCACCAAGTCCACCGGGACAACCACACACGTTCACGTCCTCGCGTACATTTATGCTAGTACTATTTCATATCTACTACTTAGATATTTTTCGATTGTTTTTGTTTTTCCTGGGTCACTCTGTTTTGTGATCTGGAGCACAATCGTCGTACATCACATCTTGCCCCCCATAAGATACAGTTCAGAGAAGCAAGAGCGAGATTCGTCCTTTTTTTCCTTTTTGATCTTGTCAATTTTCAGCTGGGAAAAGAGTGCAGTGATTCTGTTTTTTTTTTCCATATTTCGTCTCCTCGCAGCTCTAAAACTAAGGTTAGTATCTTATATTTTTGGAGCATCTCTTTCTTTGTTTCATTTTTATAGATTCTGTTGAAGAAATGATTGGTTTGTTTTTTGTAGTGTTGTAGAATTGCATTTTTTTTAGACTCTAGTTGCAAAGTTTTTTTTTTTTTCTTCGTCTTTTTCTGTTTTTGTTTGATTTTCCCATTTTTGGGTGCTGACAAATCACAGGAGAAAGGAAGTGAAAGTTGGGATCTTTATTTATTTGGTCTCCCGTCTATTTTCCATCTAATTCTCCTATCCTCGTTAGCAAGATTATTTAGAGACTGTCTGGCATGGGCAACAGATATTTGAATATGGTTGAGATTTCTAGCTATCAATCCTTGGATCTCGGCAAAGAGCCTTTCAACAGATATTTGAATGTTTCAGATACTGCCTTTCGTTATCGTATACTTGTTCCTGCATGATTTGTTTATTATCTTATTGATTGTCGTCAACTTCATGAGAAAGTACGGGAGTATCCTCATTCTTCAAGAACGATTAGGCTTTGCCTTAAATTTTTTTTCGGCTCTCCAGAATGATGAAAGGATAATTGTTTCAGATAGTGTTGAATAAACACGGGCCTGTGTTTTATTGTCCTTGTGTCAATTTGTACCGGTTCGATCTTCATGTTATTTCAGACCAAAGTTACCAGGCCATTATAGATTAGACATCGATAGTTGCGGATGTGTGTTGTTGAAGTCATTTAACATTTAAGGTTATCAAATGGGTTTAGAAAT